TTTGGATCGACCTGCGCTTTTTCTGATCTCCGGGCGATGCACGTTATGAATCGCGTTACGTAACAAATGAATTCTTTAGCTTCTTCCACAGTCTTGTGTTTAGATTAAGGATAAGATCGCCAAAATTTTACTTGATTTTGTAGGTGGCTTGTCATAGAGATAGATATAATTGCTTTCCATAGTAATTGCTTAGCTTGATCGCGACGCTCTGAGTCTTGAGATACAACACCGGTAAACTTGAAGAAATTTTTTGACCTCGTGTGTCACTGTTCCTGATCAAACTTCAGAACGTTATATGATTCTACATACATCAGTAGGCGAGCATTTAATTTTAATATTGATTGTTTATAGTAATCTGAGACTATTTTCCATTGACTTCAGAGAAATGCATTTACTGGCCAAAATATCCCTTCGGTTACTTGTCGCTGAAGAAAACAAAACATTCATATCTTATTTATAAAAACACACGTATAGGATGCACCTCCACTCATGAAGTTTTGAATTAACAGGTAGAAGACGGCAATGTTTGTATTTCCCGGAAAGACAAAGACACGTACTATTTAATCATCAGTTTCTTGATAGGCCAAATCCCAGATGGATGTATGTTGTTGGGCATCAGAATTGTGTTGGTCTGGAAATTGATTCCAGAGGTCGCGATCATCTCGTACCATCTCAAGTGCAGAACGCAGTTCCATGCTGTCAATCCCATCTAGCCAATAGCCTCCATAATCTCCCTCTGCATTCAAATAATTCATCTCATTAGCTTTTTCTAGCTCCTTGTTCATCCAATCTGCAACGCTTGCCATTTGTGCATCACTCGACAGATAATCACACAAGGCAACCTGCCGGAAAGCCCAGGCAGCACCGCCTGGGAATCCCGCACTTAATTCACTCGCATGGGAACTCTCTGCATTTTGAGAAGCTTCTCGATCAAATGCATATCGACTCTTCTGCCAAAAATTACCACTGTTCAAAGCATGAACAATTAAGCCTTCACTCCCTTCCTTTTCTCCTTCTTCTTCTTCTTCTTCGTGTTCTTCGGACAGTGATATTCTGAGGCACTTCTTTGTCAGAGCTAGCAGTGCTTCCTCTTGACTGACGACTTTGGACCAGGTCGCAGTATCTCTGGCCGTCATCTTATCTTGTAAAGACTTGGATTGTGTCACCAGCTTCCTCAGTCTGTTCAAATCAGGAGACATGTGCTTTATGACTGCGGCCAAGACAGAGACTTTCCAGGCCTTTTTCAGATCGTGGGGCTTCTTATAAGGCGGAGGACCATGTTCCTGGGCCATCACTCCTTGCTCGCCCCACCAAATTTCGTTACCGCTGGGCCACCACGGAGGAGCCAGGCCTCTCTCCAGAGGAAATTTCCTCTGAGGAGGTGCACAGTGCTGCATGAGAGCAGAAAGCAGAGAGCCCAACGTAGTATCCTGCAATTCGTGAAGCAGGTGCATGCAGGAGGCCGGGTCCGCCTGAGCCTTTTCAACCAGGGGCAAGTGCTTAGCAATGGCAAGAGGGGCATTTTGGTCAAAGCGCACTTGTTCTTTCCACCACTCCCTAAGGCTGTCCGAGGAACCGGTGACCGGCTTTCCCTTCTGGGGGACAATCCCGTAAACAAAACCTTGACCGTTGCAGACTTCCATGATCTTCGCCATGTATTTGAGGATCGAATCTTGTGCTCTCGCCAGCTTCTTCCGTCTGGATGCTTCTTGTTTTGCGTTCTGGTCGGGTTCATCTCTGAGACGTTTATCCTTGAGCTTCTGTAGAAGCATCCGGTCCTTCCACATGCGCTTCTTGAGCTGCTCATAGTCGATATCTTCTTCGGCTTCGACTTCCTCTTCAGTTTCTGCACGACTAGAGAACGAGTCATTCTCTTCCAGGAGCTCAACCATGACTGTGGCAGAGATTGAAGTTACTTGTACGTAGATGAGATCTCATGAGTTACAGGATATCACGTGATGAAATAGAAGGCGATGGTTGAGAGTTAAAATATATAGAGAAGGACGAAGAGGCGGTGGTGGGAAGAGGACAGGGAAGGAAGGAGAGGGGATGATAAATTGCGATGGAGGAAATGGTGGAAACAGAGGCGCGTGTGAGGTGTTTTCGTCAGGGATGACGCGAATATTAATTGCGTTGCAAATGATATCACCATCTTCTCCCCTCTGCATGCCATGCTCTCTGCCCTCCGCCATATCGGGAGACCTGTGACTTTTCAGACAACGAACGGGCACGGTTCTGATTTTGAAGGTTGTCGACAAAATCATACGAGAGAAATATAGAGATGATAAGCATTACTGCATGGTACGTCTTGGAATCACAGAGGGAAGTCGGAGAAGAAAGTCTGAGATACTAAATCTCCACCTGTTTCCCAGTCTACGGAAGAAAGGTTTGCTGAGATAATTAAAACGTGCCATATGCCCAGTGATAAGGATTGACCAGACGTGATTGCCACCCGTCAATTGCCTACAATGCCACACTCTTCTTCACTTAATGACGGGCCATTGGCTACTAATATTTTAAGGAGATTCTGAGAAGCTCACTCCCTCGTTATTTGGGATCAATCGTACAAAGAAAAAAAAGGAAAAATTGATGGAGATATTGATCATAGAATTCAATGGTTTAAATGGAAAAAAGCGACAAAGTTATCTATGATTGGAAAGTTAAGGTCAAAAGAAAGTTTTATAGCACTGCTATAAGACCGGCAATGCTATATGGCTGCAAGTGTTGGGCTTTAAAAAGACGACATGAACATAAAGTGGCAGTTGCTGAGATGAGAATGTTAAGATAGATGTGTGGTAAAAGACAAGATCTGTAATGAACATATAAGAGGAAAAGTTAGAGTGGCTGCTATTGAGAAAATAGTATAAAACTGTTTGAGATGGTCTGGTCACGTGCAAAAAAGACCTTGGGATGTGCCGGTATGAAGAATTGAGCAAACAGTATGTAGTCCTCTAAAAATGAGTAGAGGAAGGCCAAAGACAACGCTTAATGAAGTCATGAGAGAAATCTTTCAGTTAACAATCTATCTAAAGATTTGGCTTTGGATAAGGCCCAATAGCGTCGTGCGATCTATATGGCCGACCCCACTTAGTGGGATAAGGCTTTGTTGTTGTTGTTATATAGATCGGCGCTGCTATTTCTGAGTGTTGGGGGGAGTTTAAAATAAATGATGTATCATTCAAAATACTAACTGCGATTGAGCAGAAATACACCATTTGATTTGATTATGGATTCTTATGATCGTATCCTTAATTAATTAAGGAATTTTTCAATCACCACCCAAAACATTTCCATTAACAGGTAATAAGAATCAGTTTCAGTGCTCATAATAACTGAAACCGATTCCCAGGTGATAGTGAAACAGGATAGCTAGCAATGAGCTCTCGTACTCTCTCTTACTCCTGTGATGAGATGTATTTATTGGAATTGAGAATGGGCTTTAAAAGGTGTTTGAATGAAAATCAAATCATATTTTTGGTTTTAGAAGTGATTTTAAAATGAAAATCAAACAAATATAAATTTATAGAGGAGTTTATCTCAATTTACAAAAAAATACTTTTAAAAAGTATTTTTAGATATCCAAACACCTATTTAATCATTACCCTGGGCATTTTACGTTTACACAAGCGTTTTATTCCTTTTAACGTGCTACACTTCATATATTTCAGGCAATAAAATTCTGTTAATTTTTTTTATTTGTATGTGAGCTATTTTATTATTTACTTACACTTCTTAAATGTTCAGAGTTGGACAGATAAAACATTATCTTTGAAACGAACAAAGGGTATATTTTAAGCATGTAAAGGTTCGGAGAATTGAAATTTTATGTTCCAAATGCAAGAATCTTTCTTCAAATGACATAACATGACAACATTTCGTTGTTCGTGCATTTTTCTTGGAGATGAACCAACATGTTCCTTAGGGAGAGAGAGGGTTATTCGAAACAGAGGATTCTGCCCGGAAGCGCGACATGCATATTTCATCTCAGCGGAGGGGATTCAATGAAAGTTAGATGTTTTGAATATTGTAAGAACAACCCACCGTATCTGCTAAAAAATTGTAAACGATGACACATGAAATGGGGACATCTCGTATTTTCTTCCTGATCGAATATTTGATAAGCATGTTTGAAGGTGGCCAAGAGTAAGCATGACTGAACAGAATAAAGGAACAGCAAAGGGGGTTCAAGAAAATAAATAATACTGAGTAAAATTGTGAAACAAAAACCAATATCAAGAACAATCAAGTCTTGCAACCCGAAGCACCCCTTTTTGAAAGAACCAAGCACCATTTTATATACAAGTAACCAATGCTGGCTTCACCGCCACAGCTGCAAAGCAAATAGTACATGCCAGTTTTGTCCACTTTCAACAATCATACTTTTCCGAGATAACCTTTCATGATTCTCTCATCTGCACTCGACATTAACAACGAGTTTCTAAATTTATCCAATTTCTGGTGTATCTCCACGAGTTTATTAGAATCCCACGAATTGGGTGTACTCCGAGTAAGCCGACTGCATGGCAATAGGGGCCCGTATAACATGATCTGGGAGATCAAAAGCATTCACAAGTTCCCTTGCAATATTCCTCACTTGGAAACTTAGATAAGTCGTGAGCTTCTGGATTGCCTACCAAATGAAACAACTTCATCAATCCACATCTTTGACAACAAAAGCAATGTGCAAATATATCCATTGCTATCCTAGGTAAAAACCTCCCTGCTGCGCTGACGCAGCTGGATTTTAGGTTCCCCAACAAGGTAATAATTGTCCAAAAGCAAGATTTTATCCCCAGAGGAAACCCATGTTCAACAAATTCTGTAGAGAAAGTTTACAAGTCCGCAAGTCTGAATCATAAAATTTTATATCACATCTTATCTAATTTCAAAAAACTTAAAACTTTTATGACAGTGAGCTAGCACATACTCTGAAGTTCACTGGTTCCTAGACACCGAAGATTTTGGTTTTTGACTCTCTAAACACATCATCAACAAAGGTGTCAGCATACCTTGGCCTTATTGGGTGCCACATAATCAACATTACGGTAGGTTCCTATGTCGTTCCAAATACTATCCAGGGCATAAAGATCACAGACGAGCTTAAGAGCTGCCTTGGAACTTGGGTCAGAACAGCTGATACAGAAACAAACCATGTTAAACACAAAACAGATCTTCTTTAAACTATAATAATAACAACGGAGAACATAATGCAGATAGTAGGAATTAGAAAGCACCTCTGCACAGATTCAATAAATTTAGCAAGGATGACGGACTCTATATGTGACTCTGCAAGTGTCAAAAGGTGATTTAAGCATCTATTCCATGCACCAAAGTTCCCAAGAGTTTTAGAATGCTTGCGAAGTCGTACAGCGACACTTTGAAGCAACCTTGATGTGCGGTACTGTAATGTGAAGATTTACATAAATATAATCCATTTCATTCACCATGTAGTGTATTGTAAACAGGGAATGAAGATGACACTCACTCTAAAAGCATCCAACTGGAACTGAGGATTTCGTAAATGCTCTTCCCCTTCCCACCGAGTAATCACCGGATTTGGTTGGGAGAGATATGTGTTCATGGATTCTTTCAAGTAATTCCACGTGACTGCAAAAGTCCCACCTTGAAACTTCTGCTGGTATTGTTTCAGTAGATCAGCTGCAACCTGCATTTGCAATAGGAAAAAAGGGTATTCATGCCACAGGAACCATTAACAGAGCTTTGACAGAACATTTGGTTTTCATTATTGAGCTTGCTCTTTCCGATTTAAGAATGTTGTCATGAAGGAAAATGTAAACTGTCACTACTTGTAAACCTCAAATGTAGAAAATCACAAAGGGGATTGAAATATAGAAAGCAACCTACAAAATCACATGTTGATGACTGAGTCATAGACTCATGTTTCTTATATCTTGTTGGTTCTCAAGCAAAACAAACGTAAGGTCTGCTTCACTAATGTTTCTGACAACAAATTATATGGGTCTAGCCAGTACCTGTTGGAGAAGAACTGTGTTGTCCCCTTCAAATGTCTGAAAAATGTCATGATCATTCCTCAAGCTACCAAACCGATTTACAGCAGCATAACCATGGCCTCCACAGGCTTCCCTGCAGGTGCTCAGTGACTTTGCGGTATATGCGGTCACATAAGCCTTAAGACCTGCTGAAAGAGCATGGACATCTCCAGCTAATGCCTCATCATGAGACTTCTTCATTTCTGAATATTTTTCCACTAAATACGCAGTGGCGAAATGAAATGCGTAAGTTGAAGCCAGCATTGGCATAAGCTTGTGTTGTTGAGATTGGTAATCAAGAATACTAACTTCAGGCTGGTTTGGAGGTCCAAATTGCTGACGAAGTAGAGAATATTGAATGGCAATTGTGGCAGCAACCTTCAGGACACTAACAGAAGAATATGCAAGCCCCACCCTACCACCTACAAGCTCCCCTAATGTTGCAGCAAACCGTTTGTTTACAGAAGGAAGGCTACTACTGTACTTCCCATCACGAGAGACATCTCCAAACCTATTCAGAAGATTATCTCGAGGTATTCTTACTGAACGAAATCTTAATGCTCCATTATCTACACCGTTTAATCCAATTTTATGACCACAATCATGTATCTCAATTCCTGGAAGTGTCTTGTGAGTCTCCATATCCCTTATAGGGACGATAAAAGCATGGACACCCATATCAGAAACACCTTTCGAATCATAAGTTGGTAATAAAAGCCTAGCAAAGACAGTGGCAAATTTTCCATGAACTGCAGCATTGCCGATCCACCATTTGATGGCACCATCAGTAGGTGTATCGATGACGAACTCATCAGTGATCGGATCAAAAGTGGCAACTGTTTGGAGGCCCTGCACATTCGAACCTTTTAAGCACAAAAATAGCAGTTTAGAACATTGTGTGATAAAGCCATATGATAAAACGTTTAGGTGATAATATCATATAACCTAACGACCTGAATAGCAACAGAAAAGACTCTGATAAGGGAAAGGAAAACAATATAGAACTAGACGGACAAAGTCCCAACGACATGAACATTACCATCTAGCTATCTTTTCTGCTATATATTACGCGAGTATTTTGTCAGGTGAATATAAAGCGAATTTGAAAAACATCTCCTCAAAAGTCAAATCAAAAAGAAAATCTTTCGCCAAGTCCTCAAGATATAAGTTGGAAATACGTAATAATTATTCAGAATATCCGACAGAGGAAATACGTTGCCAAACTTTTAACAGCGGGAGGTACTGATCCGATGTTTTTTATTGAAGAAAGAAGGGTTAAAAGTTCTTTTTTTTTTTTCGTTTGGAATTTAATCAAGCAGTTACAAGCATCTGAGCAATATATGAGAAGTAAAATAAATGCACGCATCAAAATTTACCGTGATGCAGTTCAGTCATAGCAAAACAACCAGGGTAGTCCAAATTATCAATGCCGTCGAAGTATTTATCCTTATGCTTTTTGGTTCCCAAATTGATAACAGAACCTCCCCAAAGACTGCAAACGAAAGACGAATCATCAGAATCAGAAGACGATGGATAAATCAGTCATGCATTTAGAGAATGTTTGGATTAAAAATTGCGGGGCCCTTCGAATTTCTAGAGGCGTTATAATAAAGAACCGAAAATTCATCTACTATTCAAAAGCAATGTAAGGTTGTTAAGAAAGAAAAGGGGATGGAAATCATCAAAAGTTAAAGCGCGATCACCTATATTGCACACCCATCTTAATCCCAAGAGACATGTCGACGCAACCGACAGCTTCGAGAATGGCAAAGTACTTAGAGGGATCTTCGATCACGTATCTAAAGGGCCTAATTCCCGCTTCCCTGACCAAGCCAAGAAGTTGCCTCATACAGAGGTCACGATGGGCATCTTTAGAAATCTCCAAGGGGGTTTGGAGTTCGGGCCTAGAATTGAAGTATTCCAAGACTCTCTCCTGAATATCTCTATGCTTACCCCTGACGTACTGGGACAGAACAGCAGGGTCGACGTCAAGCTTGGCCTTTGCGCAGGTAAGCATCTGCAGGTGGGATTGGGGACCAGAGAGCGGTCGAGGAATAGGGGTGAGGTGCAAAGATAACGTACGCATACGCCTGGACAGCGCCTGGGAGTCATCATCGCTCTGCATTTTTGGGTGTGTCGTGGATTGATGGAGGAGGAGAGCCAATGGACGAGGGGTAGAATTGAACAACAGGAAGAAGGTTGGAGTAAGCCGGAAAACGCTGGGTTTGAGGGGAATGATACGGACATATGGTTTCTTTCACGGCACACTGATGACGTGGCGGATACATATGGGATCAAAAGTTGGCGGATCATGTTTCTTGGCGCGCCTTCCAACGTCATGGCCGTAACCATAAGCGGATAAGACGTCAACCTCCGGGCGGATTTGTTTGTTTGGCTCTTTTTCTTTTCTTTTTATGAGAGCTGATTGGGACTTTTTTTAATAATCAGCTTATATTTACTTTTTTGTTTCAGAGAAGAATAATGTGCGTGCACATATTTTTCATGAAATTTTAAGACATATATTTGCTTAAAGTTTATTATTTTATGTTTTTCTAATTTATTCATAGATCTGAAATTTAAAATTTTGTAAGCAAATGTTGACCGGGTAAGATTTTTCTGAAATATCCAAAATCTGGACCAAGCTCAATATACAGTCCATCGTTCTTTATTATTTCAATTTTTACGGCACCATACAAAATTGACTAAAACAAATTGATACTAGGGAAAATTACAAAAAAAGACCTTGGAATTGTAAAACACAGATAGGGACCCTTGACAACTTCACTTTGGGTTTTGACAAGAATAATATGTCCTGAAGTCAAAACCCAAAGTGAAGTTGTCAAGGTCTCTATCTGCGTTTTTGCAATTCCAAGGTCTTTTTTTGCAATTTTCCTTGATACTACTTCTTATTCTAATTATAAGAATTAGTTGACTAATTTAAAAAGATTAAAAAAAAAGTTAAATTAGTTGTTTGTAATAAATATGTATTGTCTTTCTTAAAATATCCTTGCTAATCAAGTGTATTGACTAGAACTACTATTGTTAGAAGGACTATTTTGGAAAAAAATTTATAAATATTAGAGATAAAGTGAATTGAAGTCTTATATTTAGAACCAAAATAAAAATCAAATGAGGCCTTGTATTAAGAATAGGAGGTAGTATATCTAGATATTTTATAATTCAATTTTATTGTTAATCTATAAAACAATAAATTTACTCCAGGAGATGGTTGTAACTATTTTGTGGTTTGGTTCCATATTTAGGAGTAGTTATAATAAGTTAAAATCAATAATTCATGTTAAGATGAAATTGTTAGCAAAAAAACGTTGAAATGAAATTAATATATTTCAATCGCAGAAATAATTTACTGGGGTTTTTAATCAGATGATGTGATCTAAAATAATCTTTTTCTCAATTCAAATCTGCGCCCATCTTATCTCCAACAATTCATCAACAGATCAACGTATGCTATATTAGCGCTGTAAAATGTACATATCAATATTATTTGATAATTGATCGATGGTTTCTTTTGTTTTGGCTGGGAAGTACTTATTGATTTCCAAATAAATTATATTTAGATAATTCTTATGACAGGTAAATAGCGTCAGTTGTCGAATATTTTCATATCGCCTAAGTAACCATATCATAGTTGATGTTTAGATTTATTTTCATGCCTGAGAAAATGCTATAATAAAATAAAATTAAGATAACATAATAATTGAAGATAAATTTGAACCGAATGATGACGCGACGTAATCAAGATTGATGTTAAATTAGTTTTTAATTGAAATGCCGTTGTATATTGCGCTGCATAAATTTGAAACGAACATATGCTTTATTTGACTTCTCGGGCTGATATAATTAAATTTAAAATTCAATTATTTGTTTTTTTCACTTGAACTCATTATTAGGTTTCGGTTAGCTTGACAGGACTGTTTTCCCTGGACGCACTGGACACCCTAAAACTGGGGTCACATTTTCTTTCCATAAGAAAATTATGTTTTTTGGGCCTAAATGAAGATCTTTTGCCTAACGGGCCGAATGGTGTGGAATTGGGTCGGTTAGTAGGGCATTGGTCCAACAAATTGTTAGCGCCTAAAATACAGCAAACAGGGAAGAGAGAATTTACATTGGCGCGTGCTAGTTTCATGAATGCGTATAATTCAAAGTTGAAATCGCGGTCATTTCGGATGTGTTTCCCTTCATTTTTCCCCGCTTAAGCAAAATCAAGTGATTTCGAGTCTGTGCTGTTGATCGGAGTTTGGTTGAATGCGCACTTCCCTCTCCCGTTGATGCTTCTTCTACTTCCCTCTCACATCCACCACTTCTCCACATAACAAGGTCCGTATTTCTCGTCTAAACCTCGCTGGGGTTTTTTTTAACCACTCCCCCGTCTTTTTGGGTAATGGGTATCGTTACATACAATTTACATAGGGTTTCCCTTGTTCCTTAGGTATAGCTGCATTGTACTCATAGCACTTCTGAGCGGGAGACATCGGATGAGGATGATTCAAGAAATTGTTTGATCTTGTTTAAACTGGCGTCGTGAATTTTGCTGTTAATCCCTCTCCTCGAAGTAAATTATGGGGAGTGGAGATAATTTCAGCGATGGGATTGTAGAAACCCGTACTGCTCTTGCTGATTGCACGAATCGGCCCCACAAGAGGGCGTTTTCATTAATTTCGGGTGATTCGGCTCCTAAATCTGGACATGGGCATCGCAAGATCGATAACATTGGTGGGGATTTCCATTTTGCAAAGAAGGTTTGTTTCGAAGGCGGACACGCTGCCGGCGCTCCACAAGGATTGGCAACTCATGCCCCGGAAAATGACGAAAGGGACCGAAGTCTTCACAAACTGGCATCCTCCAAATGCGGGGCAACAGTCTCTGGTTCACTGGATTCCAAATTTCCTGGGCTGGAAAGATGTGTAGGACTTAAGGGCGATGGCGGTGAAAATTCAACTGAGGACGGGGATCCTCTCAAAGCTTGCTCTTGTTTTGTGTGCTCCACTGGTAGTTTCAATTTTTCTTTATGGTTTTTGATCTTTTACACATTGGATTACATTTTATTTTAGTACCTAAAATGCTTGTTTTATATTGACAAATAGCTGCTTATATGTGGTCGGACCTCCATTACCAGGACATCAAAGGTAGACTAAGCGGTGAGTGCTTACCGAATTTTTAATTTCCGTGTCTAGGCCCCTTGCTCTGCCGCATGCTATACCATGCTTTATTTAGCCATCATATAGTTTCCTTCATTTTCTTCCTAAAAAAAATGGTTTTGGCCAGCTCTGAAGAAAAGTCAGAAAGAAGCAGCAAAGCTGGTTCAGAAAATTTCTGGAGCAAAAGACAATGCTGTGCGTGGCCAACGGACTTCTGCGGAGTCTTTCAAACTGGAATTGGACCTAATTGATCAGTGGAGCTCACTGTTTGTTCATATGGAGAAGAACCTGGCTCACGAAAGTAGCCAGCTTGTAAGTTACATGAATTTTGCCTGATTTGAGCTTCGTTTGATTTACAATGTCCAATTTTTATTCTGAATTCTGAAGTGCGCATTCGCTCTTCTGTAGTTCACTAAGCTACAAGAAAATATTGAATTTGTTAGGGTTAGGACTAAGGAGTCGCATGTCAAACAGACGCCGGGTTCTGCCCGAGCCATATTCTAATTTTAACGAATGCAGTATTGGCAGTTGGCATATACTTCTATCAATATTGTTATAGATATGCTGCTTTGTTGACGAAACTTGACTTCTCTTTGCTTTACAACTTATAAATTTTATTTTCTTTCCCCTAATGTTTGACATGCATTTCAGGAATCAAGTTTCGAACAACTTAAAGATCTGAGGGAGAGCTTCAAGAATGATCAAGTTGACAAGGGGCGCTCTCACGGTCATTAATGGTCAAATGTTTCTTATGAATGTAAGGTTGACATCTATATCCATGTTAATCTGTATCCGTTCACCTGTGTTGATGGGTACTTATAACGGACATGGTATCTGTAGAGTACTTGAAAATCATACGGAGAAACGAGCCTTTTCCTTCGCCTCACATGAAGAGAATCTGCTTCCTCTGGGAGTAGTGGCATGTGTCTAAAGCCTTCGGGTCTGGAGGATGACTTGTTAGTCTGCTTGCCCTTAGATATTAAATACCCTAGCATGGTTCAATTTTGTTTCTGCAGGTCTTTAGAAGGCTGTTTGGTGGTAGTTATGAAAGCAGTACAAGTTGAGCTTGTATATTGTATTGTTTATAGTAGGAAGTGGCTTTTTTTTTTCTTGGCCAACTAGAATAATGGGCCCATAAATACGAGTTCTATGAATGGGTTGATCCGCAAGAGCTTGTTTATGATATATGAAAAGGGGCGCATGAATTCATGGAGCGAGTTTATGGACCACTCGCGTATGTCAGATTTCAAGGATCGTAGCCCGGCCCATGAGTATAGATAGATTTGAATTAGAATACCCAAAAAATGGAGGAGGATGCTCAGCAAAATCAGTGATGAAACTTCGGCCGTTGGCTAATGCATAAACTGGAGGGCACCGATGTGGTTTGTTTGGTCAACGCATTTCCTCTCCAACGTGACGATGGAGAATATTTTGTCCGCCTCACGAAATTTCATGTCAGTGGGGCAATGTAATACTGAAAGGGCTCAAAGATGCACATGATGGCACATGGATGGATGAAGAGATGGCTTATGACCTGGCCATTAATTAAAAAAATGCACCCAATAAGGTATGGCAAAGGCTGAGTTTGGATGAGTTTAGGTAAGAGGTTACTTTTGTCTGGGCGTGGAGTCACGACCCCTTCTTCCTATTATTTAATAATGTTTGAGTACTATGATGAGTTAGTTAATGAATTAATTGTGGAATACTTCCAAGAGTTGAGTTGGGTTGGGTTGGGTTGATGATGGAACTCCCCCATGAGACTGATTGGATCCAACGTTAGCAAAGCTTATCATGAATTTCAGCCACTCATAATGGCTGCTGTGGTTGACCCTTTTTGAGGTATTCCACATAGATAATTCACTAACGCCCCGCCCTCTCTTGTGATTGAATTCACATATTGGTGGCGATGGTAACGCAGCAAGATATATAAAAAAAGTTAAGGATTGCGAATTATGGGAAAGGGTGGGAGGAGGATGATGTTTTTTAATGGGAAAGCGCCATTGAATCGGAAAATTTTAAAAAAAAAAAAATTGAAGGAAGGAAACGAATTCAAAAGTGTGAATCAGAAAGTTGGGATTGCGTAGCTTGAAAGTGATGCGGGGCCCCACCATTAGGTTGTGAGAAGGAATCTCGTCCAATGAATGCGCACCCTCTCCTCTCCCGTTTCTTCCACGCCACGCTTTGCTTCTTCAAACCTTTTGACCTGCATTAGCCTTACCTTAGGCATTTATCTTGTGTTCATCATTTTCACAAATTTTGAGCCTTTATCATCCTCTCTTCTCTTCAATTTGAATATTTACACAATAGTTTACAGGCGGAATGACACTTGAAAACCCTGAATGAATAATAATACAAACCAAGGACTTTTAAATTGTAAATTCAATTATTTAACATAAAAACACTTATTTTATTTTAATATTCCTTCAGAGTCCTTAATCATCACTCTTCCAAGCTTTGATCGTGGAAAAAAGACCACGTATACCTTAACCAAGATTAACATGAACGCATTTAATAAGATAACATGAGGGGGGGTGTGTGGGGACATGAATATTTAGCGTGGAATTGATAATCTAATTTGACGGAAATTCCCAAAAATTGAAAAAAAAAAAAAAGTCAAATATGATGAGAATATATTCGTTGATGGAAGTTGTTTGGGCTATTTAGATGACGGCCCACCCTTTAAAGATCCCATTCGGGCATTTATAGATTTGCGTGAGCAACTTGAGCTGTCCATTCGGCCACCCCTAGGGTCCTATCCTCCTATTTGCATGCGGCATCTTGATCTCTTTTTAAAACCGGGGATCCTAATTTTTATTCAACTCCCTTTAATTCCCTTTCTTTCTTTCTTTCTTTCTTTTTAAAAAAAGGCTGATAAAAAGATGCGGGAAGCCTGAGAGAAGCCGGCGCCGTAAAATGCGGGGGCAAGTAAGGGGGGGTTTTGATAATTACAAAATAATGAGTTATGAAAGCAAACTTCGGGGAGGCTGTCACAGTGACACACGAGTGGGCCCCAATCAGTGTTCATGTGAAGCTGCATTGGGTTAAAGCGACCTCACCAGTCACCACATGGTTGCGGCCTCCTCGCTCTTTCTTCCTTGTTTGGAGTTTGGACATTGGAAGCGCAACTCCTCCAAATCTCTGGTCCTTCCCCCAATCCTCCCCATCATCATCTTCACTTTCATTTTCACAATATCGCCTCACGATTTCACTTCTTTTTCTCTCCTTCCCCACAACATCATTTCGCCAGCTTCCCTTATTCTTTTCAAGTATAAATATGCACCACAACTCTTTTTTCAAAAAAAAAAAAGGGCAAGGAAGGCGAGACGAAAACGCATTTAATAACAAAAGTGACAATTACAGAGGGCACACACGGCGTATGTTGTCAGCAGTATTTCATCCAATTCGAAGACGACACGTGTACCGCACCGCTTTGGGTGTGGCACCTGCCAGTCACCCATCACGCGTGGCATTTTCCTATAGGATGCCCACCATCCAATACCAGCATCAGTATCGTTGAAGTTGACGAGGCAACAGATCAGTTTTCCCCCCTTTAAAAAAAATAAAAAAAAAAAATAACGGGATTAGAGTAAACAAGAAGTTTGAGGCTCGCAGGCCGTTGAATATCATTGGCATCTCAGACTATATAAGTGCAGGAAGGCTAGCCAGCATATCGCAAGAGTGGAGCTCTACCCGAGTGAGGCCCCCCACCCAGAAAATCACAAGTGATTGAGACTTGCACCATTCCGTCTCTCGTCTTCTTTCTTCTCTAGCCCTCCCCCCCCCCCCCCTCATTACCCGCTTCTTGGATCCCTCTCTGTCATCGTTTGTCTGTCCTCGAGATTCAATTTCGAGTTCGAGCGATTCAGGTAGAGATTCAGCTTTTCTTGTGTCAAAAAAAGAAGAAGAAGAGAGATTCAGCTTTTCAATACGTTTCTAGTTTTTCCCCTTCAAGCTGCAGCTTTTCCCCAACCTGTGCTCTGTTTTTGAAATTGAGGCAGGTCTTCTCATATATTTGGTTTTAGAATTTTTTTTCCTGTGATTTTCTCGTATTGTGTGGCATGGCGGCAACTATAGGTATGTATAATAATAATAGCAGCAGCGTGGCGTCAGATTTCTTAGACCCGCGTAGTGAAGATCTGATGAAGGCCCTTGAACCTTTTATCAAAATGGATTCATCAGCGTCTTCTCTGTCTTCTGTTTCTTTTCTGTCTTCACCTTTCTGCTCTCATACCCCGCCCACTCCTATGTCCAGTTATCATCCCAACCTCCGCACAGCATCGAGCTCCCACATATTTTCTGCGGGGTTCTCGAGTGGCATAGGGCTAAACCAACTCACCCCATCTCAAATTCTTCAGATTCAGGCTCAATTCCAGGCCCGACAACAACAGTCCCTGGGCCTCCTCAGCCCCAAACCTGTCCCCATGAAACACGTCCGTACTGCTCCGAAACCCGCGAAACTATACCGTGGAGTGAGGCAGAGGCATTGGGGGAAATGGGTGGCTGAGATCAGACTCCCAAGGAATCGAACCCGGCTCTGGCTCGGCACTTTTGACACTGCCGAAGAGGCCGCCTTGGCTTATGACAACGCTGCTTATAAGCTTAGGGGTGACTTTGCTCGCCTCAACTTCCCTCATCTGCGACACCAAGGAGCTCACGTGTTTGGGGAGTTTGGGAATTACAAACCTCTTCATTCCTCCGTCGATGCCAAGCTTCAAGCTATTTGTGAGAGTTTGGCCAATTCCCAGAAGCAGGGGAGTGCAGGGGAGCCTTGCTCCGTCGGCGATTCAAAGCCCAAGGTGGCGTCGGACGAGTCAGAATCGAAAAGTGATGCGGAGGGTTGTAAGGTGGAGAACACAGCATCGTCGCCCTTGTCTGATCAATCCTGGGCTGGCTCGTCTTCCCCTGAATCCGACATCACTTTCTTGGATTTCTCGGATTCCAAGGATGACACCATCGACTTCGGCCTGGAGAAGTTTCCTTCCGTGGAGATTGATTGGTCTGCTATTTGAGATGTCATCAATCTTCCTTGTTATATGGTCCTGTTCTAGATCCAGTATGTATGTACTTGTATGTTGTAGTTTTGGGTGTCTTGAGCAGCGATCTGCAATGAAATTTTAGGAATTTGCAGAGGCGTTGCCAAAGAGGGTTATGCAAAATTAGGGTAGAAAATAAGGGGGTTCAGGAGCTCATACTCCTTGTTGTGCCGGTGCTTTTTAATCCGGGCACGACCAAGGGAGCTTCCTCTTAGGTTTAGGTCGTACTTGTACTCGGAATAAATGTAATTATAGCACCTTCCAGTGTATAAATCTCGTGGGTGATATCATCTGATTTAGTTCTATATTCTGTACTCACACGCAGCAACTTCTGCTTCGCAACGATTTGCATCAACGGAGGATGGAAATTTGCACGCATTTAAACTTTAAAGCGAATTCATCTGAACTCAAAGCTGAGGGGTTGACTTCAGTGACTCCTTCCAAGTGGTTTCCGTCAAACGGAACGAGTAGATTAAGAAAATAAGTTAAGTTGATTATTTATAATAAATAGGTGTTGTCTTTCCTAAAATATCCTTACTAATCAACTATATTGACTAGAATTATAATTATTAGAAAGACTTTCTTAGAAAAAAAATATATAAATATGAAAGACAAAATGAATTAGGGTCTTATATTTATGATCAAAATAAAAATCAAACAGGTCTCCGGAAGTAGTATGTAAATAGGTAAAGGCGCGCAATTATTGACAAAAAGAAATAAAACAAATATTATAAGCTTATATTTTAAAATAAACAACCAACCACGCTCTTGCACTAGGGTCGATGATTCACCCCAAAAAAGAAGAAAACAAAAATTAAATACTCAAGATAAAGAAGCCCAGGAGAGAAGCAGACGTGTTTTTCAGTGGGCATGCAGAACGGAATAAAATGGGGAAAAGGAGTTTTATACATAAGATGGGAAATATTGGGAGGAGAAGGAATGGGAAGAAATAGCTTAGGGAGGAGGAAAGGATGAAGACGGGTAGGCAAGGAAGCGTAAAATGGAAGAAGCTGTTGAATTAATGTTACGTTGTGAACCTCAGCAACTTTGCCCTTTTCCTTCACTAATAACTTGCGTTAATTAGCCTGTAATAGTAATTGCCTCCAGAATTAAATTCATTATTAGAAGAGTGAAAGGGAAGGACGGAGATGCGCAAACTTTATAGAAAAAAGTTGCGGAACGGAAAGGCTGCAGTTGATGAGGGGAATTAAAAAACTGGTGGCCATCCAAGTTGTTGCTTCTCACTTTACAGGTTCTCCTGATGTGGCTCCAACGTCACCCTTACGATGCTTCCGCACCAAGTTAAGATCACATCTTTGTGTCCCATGCTCCCCTTTCTTTTAATACCAAGGCAAGCTCTCAGTTTAATTAATGCTTTACAAAACAAATAACATCATATCACCAAATAGGATAAGCATTTCGAGGTAAACACTGAAATTGATCTCGCCAAGAATTATAAGGATGAGATGAGCTGTCTAATATCTCTTTATTCAATTCAATTCCATTCAGGCTTTTCCCCCTACAAACGTGCTCATTGTGCAACAATTCCCTTCTCTGTTACCAATTTTCAAAACCCCATAACAAGACATTCATGAATTCGGGCCAATTCTCAGAATGTAGGAAACGTCTCATGCCTTTTTGCGTCAACAGCGGGCCCAACCATATGTACCCAAAAGCAGCCGTTTTGAATATAATTTCACCTCATTTTCACTTCTCATTCCTCTTTTTTTTTTTTTTTTTCCCGGTCTTCTATTTTATATCCATTGTGCACTTCCCATCAGTCATCATTCAAATTTTGCCCTACTTCTCTCGACGTTAGTATCGAACGTTCAAGACTAGACAATATCCGAAACATTTATTACGCTTATGGAAGTTCAGTAAACATACAATCCAATATATTCATTCATGGGAGTGAAAAAAATGGTTGGCAAAAAAAAAAAACAGAGAGAGAGAGAATGACGACGAAGATGATGATACAGAGTCCTAAGTCAGTTTTTCAATCACATGTGCATGTTTTAAAATCCCTTGGTCATCGATGTTAGATTATACTCTTTTGGTCCTTACTATAAAACCTATTTGATTAATTTGATTAAATTAAGAAAGTTAGATAATTTAGTTAATTATTAAAAATATGACATATTTTTCCTAAAATATTATAATTATTTTTTTTAATATCCTTCCTCCCTCACTTACTTGATTGTGGTTGAAGAAGTATCCATAAAAATAATTTAGAAAAAATTAGTAAATATGAGAAATAAGTCTTATATTTGAGACCATAATTAATTTAACAATTAGATCCTATATTAGGGATCGGAGGAGTAGTTTTCTTTTGCTGGTCGCGCTTCAAACCTGATAGCATTTAATGACTTGGGCTTCATTGGGGAATCAATCAGGCCCAAATATGACAGGCCCATTACAGGCCTTTTATTTGGATGACTGGAGTCTACTGGAGCCCATGGAGCACACAAAAGGTTGGTGAAAGAAGCATACACACGCCATTGCAGAAACAGACATTCGTGGTTCCAATAATTGTGAGGCAACCCGTTGGAAGTTTTTTCTTTTTTTGGGCATCGCAACCCGTTCGAAGTTTATGTGATATTCTCATTTATTACCAAATAAAATATATTTCAGTCTTGCTCATGAACAAAATAAAATGAGATAGATCACACTTGTCAGTGTCACCTCACGCACATGCTAGTAGGTGATGGGTTAAAAAATAGCACGCCACAAAAGGTGGATAGTCTCTCCAATTAATATCTTGAAAATGATGAATTTACCTGAATAAACCAATTTTCTCAATCATTATGTTTCTTCACTTTGGAAGAAAGTTTTTGACCAAAACAATATTTAGGTTAGTTAGTTAGCTCCTGCGCACTGTGTCTTAATGATAGGTAACTGTTCTTAATTTGTCTTCCTCAATAATTAGGAGACGGTCATATCACTTGAGAAGAACCGTGTAATAATAATTTGTTCTGCATAAGATAACTGGCACTAGCACCTTCTTAAATCTCAACAAAGAGTTAGTATCGATCGGTATTATATTATTATGCTTCGATATAGGGTGGGTAATCATGCCAAGTGCCGGGGATGATCCTGTGAATCGAAAAGATTTTATGCGCCAAAGATCCCTTACAGATAACTAAAAAGAATGGAAATCCTTGTAAAGGGGACGAGTGATTTACCAGAAAGAAAAGGGATATCTACATCTCGAGAATCCTGGGGATCCATATAACGCTGATAAAAGGATATAAACAAAGGCAGGAATTACACAGAGAAATGGACTATACGGGGCAAAGGAATTGGAGTAAACTGAGAATCGGAATCAGCATGAGGATGGCGTGCCATATATTATTAACATCTTCTGCATAACAAGGAATATAATCGTTAACATTATCAAATCTTTGGAACAGGTAATCTCTCCTAATCTTTTTGAGCACGCGGATTCCACAATGTGGCATGCATTATTATTGGAGAAACTGTTTTTTAACCAGATCATGAATAATATAAATGTTAATATATATATATCCCGTGCGAACCTTGGACTCTGAGGAATACAGTGCACCTAGCTAGCTGCTTCCTTTGAAAGAGATCAAAAGGACGAACAAAAACTCAAAAAGTAAACGAACCTCGCGATCCAAGATGCAAATGAGGATGGCATGATGTGTGAGCCAGTATTTACTAGGGCAAGTTGTTTGTTAAGGTCGCACGTGGTCCCCCCCCCCCCTCTTTTAAATAGCTGTTCATACGAAGTATCATAGTTCTGGTCAAATTAGCAGTCAATATATATAGGAGATGCTAGCTAGTTATACACACAGGCGGAAATATCTTTGAAATTAAACGAGAAGTTTGAAAATAAGTATGTACGGTCGAAGGCAGAATATATCGCTGCTTGTATGTATAATATGGCCTCCAAACACTTGTGTGGTCGTCCAGGGGGCTGAGACATGCATGTATGTTACATATGAAGATCTTGCAATTGAAATGACAAGAGATTCGAATTTAATAAAGGGATAATTGGAGCTGGGGAATTAATCCAACAGATTTGGTCCATCCCATTTGGAATTTTGGAATCTGGAATTAATCTGGGAAACCCGCAAATAGAATAATAACATGCTTTTTCAAATTAATGGAACTGGAACAGTGGCCCTCTCCCCCACAACCATATATACTAAAGGCCCTTACCGCTCTCACAGCATGTGTGACAGTATATATGCGCAATTTCCCTGCTGGGTCTTTACAATTTCCCCTTGCTCCGAAAATAATACTCCTCCAGTCCTAAATATAAGACTCTTATAGTATAAGAATATTATATTTAGGACCAGAGGAGTATTGAATAATACTGAGAAGTAGTAAATATAAACGTTGTTAACTCACCTAAACCTTTTTTTTATTTAAAAAGAAAAAGGCGTTGGTAAGGAGGAAGGCAGGCATATATATTGGGGAGTGATATATGATTAGGCAAAGATGGGCGACATAGGGACGTGTGATTTGTATCTATCAGTATGGATATGGTTCATAAGTGAAGTAATTGTGATTATAATTTGTGGCTCACACTGCATAAATTCCCTTATTCCCTTCCTTTCTTCGTCTTTCTAAAACTGTAAAACCACATAACTGCCTCCCTAAACATTTATTTTTCCAAAACTTCATTAACCGTGTCATATACATGCACGCGGGATTCCCACAAAATTCGACAAGCGCGGATTACTGAAAAAATTAAGCTAACTACTGTTGTATGTATAATGATTCGTCAGTGCGTGTGCGTGTGAAATGCGCATCTATTATGCAGACACAGCCACACGCGTCACAAAATCATCATTTTCTTTTGTTACTTAAATGTACAACTGATTTTGCAGTACTTGTTAAGAGCCTGTCGTATTGATTTAAAAATCATCAATTATATATTAACAACAAAACCTTGACTTTCTTCAAAGTATTCGAAATATCCATATCATGCCAAAATCTATTTTTTGACCCAGAATTCTGATTTTGTCATAAGCCATACATACCAGCTTTTGCTCAATGTCTATTCTGCTAAAATACCCAAAATTAATCTCATCACCTCTAATTCAGATGAGCCCTGATTTGATAGGTGGGTACACATTATCATTATACATGTAATTTCTTAACAGAAGAAAACATTGAATACATAATTTGAATGGTTAACAAACACAAAAAGGCTAATTCGTATAGTCATTTGGAAATATCCATTCATTTCTTTTCCATTAATCGTATGTTTTTTGAGGGTTTAAAGTGATTTAGTTGAAAAAGGAAAAGATCCAATAAAAACAATATTAAAAAGAAGAAAGGGGGAATAG